CAATTTCATGTGTGAGGAAGTGTGACCAGCCAGTTTCATGCTCCAGCTGTGCTGCCATGACTACCCCACCATCATGGACTCTCCCTCCCTAGCCACAGCCAAAATAAACACTTTCTTTCCTAAGATGCTTTTGGTCATGGTAGTTTATCACAACAACAGAAAAGTTACTAAGTGAGTGGATGGTCTACCACTGAACCATTTCCCAGTGGGACATTTCTGCAGAGATAGACAAAATGATTCTGAAATCTATAAGAAGGCAAAGGAATAAGGATAAAATAATTTTAAGCCGGGCGGTGGTGGCGCACGCCTTTAATCCCAGCACTCCGGAGGCAGAGCTAGGCGGATCTCTGTGAGTTCGAGGCCAGCCTGGGCTACAGAGTGAGTTCCAGGAAAGGTGCAAAGCTACACAGAGAAACCCTGTCTCGAAACAAAACAAAACAAAAAAATTTAAAAATAAGAAAACGTTGGGAGGAATAATAGTCTTTGATTTTAAGACTTACTATAAAGCTACTATAATTGAGTGGTTGGTATTGATGATTTAGAGACTCAAAAGTACAGCATCTGAGTTTTGAAAGATAAGACAATTACACGGAGCAATTGAACTCTTTCCACCAGTGCTAGGACTGGGCAACCACAGGCAAAACAAAACAGGGAACTTCAACATACATCTCATGCCTTTTTTAAAGATTGATTGACTTTATGTGTGTGGTTGCTCTGCCTACATATACATCTGTGCACCAAGTGTGTGACGTGCCTGCAGAGGCCAGAAGAGGGCGCTAGAAAGCATGTCAGAGGACACCCTGTAGTCCGCTCTCTCCTTCCACCACATGGGTTCTTGGGAATGAACTAATAAGTCAGTAGACTTGATGGCGAGCACCTTTACTTGCTGAACCATCTTGCCCACCCAACACTGGGGGTCTCAGAAGGTATCTCCTACAGACAAGGGGCAACTACTATATTAATGCAGGAAATGAAGGATGGTAGTGCTCTGACATCCAGAAAACAAACTGAGCGCTGAGGGTGTAGCTCAGCCCAGGGTGGCCTAGCATGTATGAATGCCTGGGTTTCATTCCAGCACGGGAAACAGAGACAGAAGGAAAGAGAAAACAGGAAGATAGCAGAATGGAGTCTCCCTTCACTACTGATAATTTCAATGCAAGGGAGTAAACTCTCCAGTCCAAAGACAGATCAGCAAAATGGATAAGAAAGCCCAAGACTCAACTACATGCATGTCCCTTAAAAGGGACTCACTTTAGATCCAAAGAGAATGAAAGTGAATGACAGAAAAAGATTCCTCAGGGGCTAAAGACATCCGAGCCTCTGGGTTCCATGTCTAGCACCAACAAACAACAGAAAGAGAAGAAGGAAAGAGAGCAGACAGACTTCAAAAGACTGTATGTGGGCTCGCAAGATGGCTCATGACCCGAGTTCAGTCCCGAAGGTTGCTTTCTACATACACGTGAATCAGTCTCTCTCTGACAAACGTGTGTGTGTGTGTGTGTGTGTGTGTATACACATACACAAAATATAAACAACAATTTAAAACTTAAGTTTCTTGTGTTTGAACAGTTTGAACATAGTGTCTATAATATAATATAAATTATAGGAGACTAGGATATTATACATTAATAAAATATTCAAAACAGCAATAAGACAAACATTTGTTAACATGATTTAAAAATATACAACTTCTAGAAGAAAGCATATATTTTTTTTTTTCACCAGAACCAAGACTTGAACCTATGGCTTCACACCTGTGCCAGGTACACCCTCTGCCACTGAGCTCTAGTCCTAGCCCTTTAGTTTTCAGTTTTTTTTTTTTTTTTTGGTTTTTTGAGACAGGGTTTCTCTGTGTAGCTTTGAGCCTTTTCCTGGAACTCACTCTGTAGCCCAGGCTGGCCTCGAACTCACAGAGATCCGCCTGGCTCTGCCTCCTGAGTACTGGGATTAAAGGCGTGCGCCACCACCGCCCGGCTAGTTTTCAGTTTTTGTGACAGGGTCTTCCTAAGTTACGGAGGAAGGCCTTGAATGTGACCCTCCTTTCTTGTCCTCTATATTAGCTGGTCCACAGGCCTGTCTCTTCAGGCCTGGCCAAAACAGGATCTCAAAGGCTTGGGCTGGAAAACGCTCAGCTGGTGCCAAAATCATGATCCACTAGAGATCAAACTGATAAATCAGAATTCACTAAAGTTAAAACCCCCCTTATTTTTTTCTTTTCTGTGAAAGATACTTTGTTAAAAGGATGAAAATGTAAGGTTCAGGCCTGAGAAAATATTTTCAAATCACACGTCTGACAAAGGAATTGCATCTAGAATATATAAAGAGCCCGCAAATCTCAACAGAAAGAAAATGTGCTAAAGATCTGAATGGAGGCATCACAGGTGGCAGCTAACCAGGACCAGTGTGGTTAGCTATTAGAGAAATGTGAATTGAATCACACACACACACACACACACACACACAAATAAAACAAAAAAAAAAAAAACCCCAAAACAAAAAACCAAACAAACAAACAAAAAATACAGGCACTGTGACTCAAACGTCTGAGGTCAGCTGGTACTGCTTAGTGAAACCTAGGTGAAACCTAGACCAGTCTGGGTACAGTAAGCCCTTGTCTTCATCCAAACCAAACCAGATGCATGATGGTATATCACTGTACATCTATTAGGATGATTAAAATTCATTTACAGCCTCAGCAAAGCAACTGGAGACTTATACATACACCTGCCAGAGATGCAAAATTGCAAAAACCACTCTGCAAAATGGCTTGGTAGAGCTGGGTGTGATAGCACACACCTTTAACCCCTACAGCTGGGAGGTTGAGGCAGGTGGATCTCTGTCAGTTCCAAGACAGCCAGGGTTATGTGGAGACTGTCTCAAAAAAAAAAAAAAAAACAAACAAAACAAAAAAAAAACAAAAAAAAACCTCAAAAGGTTTAGTCATTTAAAATTTAATTTTAATGTACAACTACCATATGGCCCTAGAAATCTCACTTATTTACTTACAATAGGGAAGTAAGAACTGTGCTTACACACAAATTTGCATACGAATATTTATTGCAGTTCTATTTCAAGCCCAAACCTGAAAATAACCCAGTGTCCCATAGGCTCATGGTAGTCCCACATGAAGACAGAGAGCACTCATATATAAAATACATTAATCTTTTTTCAAAAAAAGTAAAAGCTAGAAGGACTGTGAACTATCAAATTGAAACTACTCAAGGAAACAAATAGTCCGTGAAATATGAGAGAAGCCAGATTCTTTGTCTTGGTGAGGCAGGTGTGCAGCCAAGACTATTTTCCATAGGAAGTGGTTTGAGCTAGGTTCTAAACAATGGTTAGGAACTTTCTTCCGCATAATCCTGGCACCCGGTTTGGAGTTCAAAGTCATCCTCAGCTCTATAAATTGAGTTTGAGGCTAGTCTGCAATTCATGAAACTCTCTTAAAAAAATGAAAAAAAATTAACCAGGTGAGGTGTGGTGTTAAGGACCTCTGTGAGTTTGAGGCAGCCTGGTCTAAATAGTAAATTCCAGGACTACATGGGGAAACCCTGTCTAAAAAATAAAAAGTTCTTGGGTCACTGATTTCAGACAGGATTTGCATGTGCAAAGGCCCAGGGGTGGGAGGAAGCTGGTTTTAAGAGCACAAGAGAATGGCCTGGGGGTGTGGAAGTGATAGTGAAAGTCAAGGTCGCAGGTCAGGCTGGACCAGGGCTCTTCTGTTTGATTGTTCTTCTCAGCCCCAGGCTAGGGGGTACAACCAGGGAACTACTGTTAATCTACCGTTAATCGGAGCGTTTCCAACTTCTCTTCAGGCTGCTGAAACAATTAACCTAAGAATGGAGGTTTCAATATTCTCTCTGCCAGAATCAGGGTTGGACTCTCTGGTAGTCCTGGTAGGAGGTATCTTCACCTCTTCTGAAGGACGCAGACCCCAGGTGATGCTACATTTACAGTGGGATCGGGATGATTCTGCCTGGTTCTGGGGGACATGGCAGCTGAGTGATGTTCACTAAATGCTTTGAGGTGCTCGGGACTTGCCGACCTCTATTCTAAGACTACCCCGCATCTAGTGTTTAAAGAAATACTTGTGGCAATAGTGAGAATATTCAGAAAAGTTACACAACAGGTTCTCATGCCACAGCCTCACCCACTTCAGTCTTCCCCAGGTTCACCTCGGTACACAAGTTTGAGGCCAGCCTAGGCAACATAGCGAGACCTGTGTCAATAATAATAAAAACAAATCGGGCGGGGCGGTGGTGGCGCACGCCTTTAATCCCTGTACTCGGGAGGCAGAGCCAGGCGGATCTCTGTGTGAGTTCGAGGCCAGCCTGGGCTACAGAGCGAGTTCCAGGACAGGCTCCAAAGCTATATAGAGAAACCCTGTCTCGAAAAAACAACAAAAAAAAACCCAACAACAAGAACAAAAAAATCAAACAAACAAACAAAAAAACCCAAAAAATCGCAGCTAGAAAAAGCAGAATCAAGATTTGAATCCTGAATTGCTCAACGTCCATGTCTTGGACCCACGGGGGGTAAAATGCAGATTGCGGGGCTCACCCTAGAGGGTCTCAATCACTGCGCCTGGCAGGGTCCACAAACCTGAGAGGTAATCCAGGTGGCTCCACCCGGCCAGATCTCCCTTTACCCTTTAACCCAGGGACATGGAAGCAACCCTCAGGTCTCAGGTGTAGCCAAGGGCCGGGAAGGGGTCACATTTCAATCCCAAGATTTTTGGGAGATTTCGCAGATGACCTGAAACCTGGGAGGAAGCGCAGCCCCTCTGGGCGCTGAGAGGCGTCGCCTGGCGCCGATGCCCGGTCCGACCGTCTGGGGGTCCGCAAACCCGGCGCCGCCGCAGTCCCCTCTCAGCGAGGTCGACGGGTTCGCCCCGGGCTAGGCGGACGCACGCAGCCTCCCCCGAGGCCTTTCACCATCCACCCTCCCCTACCCGCGGCTCCACACCTCGCGGCCCCGCACCCACCCCCAAGCCGAAATACCTGCGCGGCCCGGGCGCGCGAACCGGAAGTCGGCGGCCGAGCGGGCGCCCCTCCCGGGCGGAAGCGGCGACGCAGGTGGAGGCGGCGGCCTTGGGCGGCCCGGCGCGCGCCCGGCCTGCGCTCGCGTCCCTGGAGCCTGGCGGCCCGGCCGGGGCTGGCCCGGTACCTGCCGCCCACCTGCGGGGCTCGCCGGCCTGCCTCCGCGCCGCGCCGGCCGTGCGTCCCAGGCGCAGGGTCAGCGAAGGGTTAAGGAGCGCTCCCTCCCCCACCCCCCCCCCCCGCGTCCCTCCACCTTCTCTTCCCCCCCCCCCCCGGAAAGTCCCCTAAATGACGTTGCAACCCGACAATTAGAAAAAAAAAAAAAAGAGTTTAATTATAGAGACGGGCTCTGGGAGCAGGAACAAACCCGGGCGGTCGGCGGGGCGGGGTAAACAACCGGGGAGCGAGCGCGGAGCCAGCGCCCCGGGGAACGGGGGAGGGGAGGCCCAGGGGAGCTGGGAAGGCGCAGGAAATTCGAGGAATCGCGCTTTTTTGAGAGAGAAAAAAACAAAAAAACAACAATTATTTCGGCAGCTCGGGGTGCCCCAAGCCCTGTCCTCCTCGCCTCCGAGGGACAGCACTATCCCAGGAGGCCGCCCCACCCCGGCCCCGGTCCCCCCCGGCTGAGCTTCGCAAACCCTCGGGAGTTGAGAGCAGCCCGGGCGGGTGGTGCGGAATGAAAAGCCGACATAGCTTCACATCAGGACTCAGACTAACCTTGTGGTTTTTAACGCACCCTGTTCTGTCCCGAAATCTGGAACTCATTACCTCATCACCGAGAAACTGCACGGAATCCGCACACACACACCCCCCAACCCCCTTGGAGCTGGGGAGGGGAGCGAGCAAACCTCCCTTTAAAAAGAAACCTACACATCCGAATGATTTAAATTAAGGTGGATGGAAGTTATTTCCCTTCCCGGCGCTTGCCAGATTTCAAGAAAAGATGAAAAATGGGAGCGGGGGAGGGAAGCAACCGGCGGCTGGACAGCAGCAAGCAGAAAAAGCCAGGAGCCGCAGCCGGGTTAAAAATGGGGGCCATCAACTCAAATTGTTGGAGACGAGTCAAGCAGAGACCCCGCAGGGAATTACGTTAGGTTCGTGGGCTGCAGCAAAAAAGTCGTGTGTTTCGCAAAGTTGAAAAAAAAAAAACAAAACTGGTTTCTAAAACTGTTGTGATTTGGAAAGTTTCCCTGGGTTTGCCCAGAGGTTGGCGATAAATAAATGCAGTTTAAAAAAAAAAAAAAAGTGTGCGTGTGTGTAAGGGGTGGTGCGGCTCTGCTCCGCCCGCTCCGTCCTTTCCAGAGAAACGTACCCGTAATGGGGTGACCTAATTACATCGCAATGGAACTCGCTCCTAGCCACTCGGCTCACCGGGTTTCATAACAGACCCGGCGGCCTCGAGTGCTGGGAAGAAACGTGCGAGGCCCGGGCGGCGCGGCCGGCGATTTCCGCCCGGGTCTCCACTCCGGCAAGCGAGCGGGTGCGGGTGGGAGGCAGCCAAACCTAATAGTAAATAAACACATCGTTCGCGGTTTTTAAGGGCGGAATAATTCATTGAAGGCCTTTGGGTTCCGTGGGTCCCATGGCTTGGCACCCCCAAACAGGGCGTCGTGACAAGCCATATGTTCCGTTCGCGTGGGGGCGGGAGAGCAGCAAGAAGTTACAAGTGTCGCTTCCCCCACCTCTACCTTCCTTCTTACCAAAGTAGCTTTTTTTTTTTCTTCTTCTTCTTCTTCTTGTTTTTAACATTCGGGGATGTGTGGAGGAGGTAGCCCAGATTCAAAGCGCGCGTGGAAAGTGACTCGTTGCTCTTTTACTTTTGTGAGCCGGAGGAAGAGGCGCCCATGCAAAGTCTGGGTTTTTCTGTACTAAGTTTAAAGATCGGATGTGTGTGAACGAAGCGCCCCATCTAGGTCTGCTTAAACGGGGTCTGCCCAGGCAGTGGTCTTTTTCGCGATGCCCCCCACCTACCTACCGGGAGAGCGCCGGCTGCCGGCCCAGCACGCGTGTCTACACGCGCGCCGCGCGCTAAATCTTGATGCGCTCGCCCCCGCCAGGCCAGGCTCTCCCGGAGGAAAAAAAAAAAAAAAAACAAAACCAAAAAGTTTTCCTGGTCGCCCCCACGCCTCCGCACACTGGTGGGAAACCAACAAAACTCTTGGCTCGAACATTTGGGGTGCCCTGAATTCCTAAACTCCTCGCCCAGCTCGTTTTGCGGTGTGGGACATTCGGGAAGTCAGGGAAAGGTAAGTCGTGCGGACACTTGGAAAAGTTTCAAGGGACACCAGCTCAAGATGGAAACCGCAGCCCTGGCCCGCGCAGGGACCAGCTTCAGCTCCAGCTAGCAAAAAAAAAAAAAGAGAGAGAGAAAGTCGAGCCCGCCTTTCTGCCCGACGCAAACACACACACACACACACACACACACACACACACACACACACACACACACAACCCCACAACCCCCCCCTCCCCACCCAACAACACAACAACCAGAACTCCGAAGGGGGTGGAATGAGTGATGTCACAGAGCCGGGCAGCGAGGCTGACAAAGGGTGGGCGCCCCTCCCCCTCCGCCCCGCCCGGCCCCAGGGAGGGGCGCCCCCAGCGCCCGGGAGCGGAGCCCGCGGACTCGAAACTTTTCCTCTTTAAGAAAAAAAAGTTGTGCGCCGCTCCGAGTGGTTTTTTTTTTTTTTTTTTTTTTCTTTCCGCCTTCTTTCCTCCTCTCCCCTCCCCCCCCTCTTCCTTTTGAAAGTTTCTTTCCTCCCCCTTTACCCCTCCCTCCGGCTTGACCGCATGGCTGATTCAACCTCAGTGTCAATCAACTTTTTTTTTTCCGCCTCCTCTTCTTCATTTAAATAAGTTTAAAGCTCCTCCCTCCTCCCCTCCCTACACTTAACCCACAAAATCTTATAAATTGGGCTTTGCGCGCCGCAGCCCCGGAGAGTCAGAAAGGCGAGGGGCGCCGGGAGCAGGCGTGTGGGACTCCAGACCGGAGAGCCGGAGGCTGCGCCTTCCCCGCACCGGGACCTTCACGACACGCCAGATCCTAGCCCTTGCCCCGTGCGAACGCCCACGATGACCACCACCCTCGTGTCTGCCACCATCTTCGACTTGAGCGAAGTTTTATGCAAGGTAAGGTAGGGCGGAGTTTTTTGCTTTTCGAAAGTTTCTCGTGTGCTTAAAAGAGACCCTCAAAGTTCGGGTCTGGGGAAAGAAACCGCGTAGAGCGAGTGGAGGGCTTTCACGGTTTGCGTTTTCCTCCACGGTGAAGGAATTCGGCCATGTCCTTCCCTCCTCGGGAGTTTCAGGTCCCAGGTGGAGTTCCATGTGAATTTGGGAGCAAAGTTCTGGGCGACTGCTCAAGTTTGCGGGGCAAGGGCTGACCCGGGGGTGCGGAAGAGTGGCTAGGACTGGGATAAAAATTGGATTCTTTCCTGCGTGGTGTGCCACCGGAGCTGGGGTTCGGTGGGCTCCCGGGGTGCGCTCTGGGTTTCCGTGCCTGCTGGAGGAGTTCGAGTCTGCCCGACAACTTTGCTAACCGGTGGCGTAGGGTCTCTGGAAAAGCGATAGCATCTCAGGACGATATTTGCCTGGGAGAATTCCCCTGTCTGCCATGGAGAACTTAAGAGGTACTGCGCCAAGGAAAAGGGGCCGATTTAAGGTTTAAAGAGATGGAGGCAAGGCGAGTTTGTAGTGGAGTGAGTTTGTGGCCGCCGCAGCTGGGCTGGGCTTCCTCCGCGAGAGCGCTGGTCGGTCAAGCTGCAAACTTTGGGCTGGAAGTGGCTGCCTACCTGTGTTGTGAGGCACTCCAGCTCGCCGATTGAAGAATAGGGGAACAAAATGTTGCCAGAACTCACGTTCCCGCCAGTGAGGATTTAAGAGGGCTTCCTTAAATGGGGGGTAGTTTGCCCGTCTGTTTTTCGAAAAAAAAAAAGTTATAAAACCGGAATGTTCCAGGAGTGCGGTTGAAATGTACAACTCCATGGATGTTAATTTTTTTCCCCACTCTGCTTCCCCTCAACCCCCTCCCCCCCCCCCCAATTTGAAAGGATGAAGCTGCTAGGCTGCTTTAATTGTTGAACTGTTTTTGCCTTCCCTTAAACACGTCGGGTCATGTTCTTCTTCTCTTCCTAGCTTGCTGCTCCTGTGGGTGCAGCTGCCAAGGCCCCGGGGCTGCAGGGTTGGGGCGCAGGGGCGTGCTGGGGCTGAGGAGCAACATCAAAAACTTTGAATTTTCAGCTTTTTTCCCCTCCCTGCGCTTCCCCAAGTCTATTTGCCCTGGCGTCTGCCTGAGCTCCTGGGCAACTCCATCCTTCTCCTTCTGGCTGCCCGCTCTTTGATCTATTTCTCTTTCTTTTGCCCCCTCCCCCCGCAGGACTTTTTAAATGAACCTCATTGTTGGGAACCGGCTCTCCACTGGGTTCCTGTAATCCGCTCGGTGGGGTGGTTGCGGTTACAGGGTTACTGATTCCCGATCCCCCGCTGCTGATCCTAAGGGACTAACTTTAGAATTTGCACAATGACACCCACATGTGTCAGGGGCCTGGAGATAACTCTCAAGTCTCCCACCCCCACGCTTTCTAAATCTTAGGTAGTCTGAGCAGGTGACTGGGGCTTGGGGCAGCTCTGTGTCCCTGCCCAAGCCCCTCTCCCCACTGACTGCGAGGTGTATGGGGGCGCGGGGGGGGGGGGGCGGGAGCTGGCGCTTTCTCTTGAATCTGCAGCTTTGGTTCAAGATTAAACACCAGTGCTCTTATCCAAGTGCAAAGGCATCTTCCCAGAGAAGGGGGTGGGAAATGGTGGGGGAAACCCCTCTCCCGGGTGCTCTTCCAGAAGCTTGGGGCTTCGGGCCGTGCATGTCCCTCTCCCCACATCCCAGATTAGGCCCTTCCTCAAGCAAGGGGGAAAAAAAAAAAAGGGCGCCGTTTGAAAACCTGTGGCCAAAGGAAGGGTACACTTGTGGAAGAGGAAGTGGAGAGTGTGGGGCCAGATTGTGGGGGAGGGGGCTAGCAGGGACTGACTGGGAGGATTTGGCTCACGTTTAGTTTTCTTCCAGGGGTTTACCTGGTTCTGTTGGGGGAGGGGGGAGAGAAGTTAGGGGGACAGCCTTGTATGAAATAGTCTTGAGTTGAGGAATGTATAAACCGGACTTGGATTTTAGAGGGGGGGGGGAAGTAGCTTTAGGGACGAGAGGATATGAAGCTACATATCAGGGGTCAGTATGGAGCAGGATGCGTGCATAATTTTTTTCTCCCCACACAGGGGCAGGGTTTTGTGGTTTCTCATGAGCAGTGCCAAAATAAACTCAGGTGGCTCCCTTTAGAGAGACTAGCCTATCTGATGAAGGGGTACTGTCCTTTGTGGACACCATGCCTTGGCCTCGTGGGTGTCCTCAGCCACTCACCGGTCCCACTTTTCTCCTCTCCTCCCTCCTCCCCCCAGGGTAACAAGATGCTCAACTACAGCACTCCCAGTGCTGGGGGCTGCCTGCTGGACAGGAAGGCAGTGGGCACCCCCGCTGGCGGGGGCTTCCCTCGGAGGCACTCGGTCACTCTGCCCAGCTCCAAGTTCCATCAGAACCAACTTCTCAGCAGCCTGAAGGGTGAGCCAGCCCCGTCCCTGAGCACCCGCGACAGCCGCTTTCGAGACCGCTCTTTCTCCGAAGGGGGCGAGCGGCTGCTGCCCACCCAGAAGCAGCCCGGGAGCGGCCAGGTCAACTCCAGCCGCTACAAGACGGAGCTGTGCCGCCCCTTCGAAGAAAACGGTGCCTGTAAGTACGGGGACAAGTGCCAGTTCGCGCACGGCATCCACGAGCTCCGCAGCCTGACCCGCCACCCCAAGTACAAGACGGAGCTGTGCCGCACCTTCCACACCATCGGCTTTTGCCCATACGGGCCCCGCTGCCACTTCATTCACAACGCCGAGGAGCGCCGCGCCCTGGCCGGGGGCCGGGACCTCTCCGCTGACCGTCCCCGCCTCCAGCATAGCTTTAGCTTTGCTGGATTTCCCAGTGCCGCTGCCACCGCCGCTGCCACAGGGCTGCTGGACAGCCCCACGTCCATCACCCCACCCCCCATCCTGAGCGCGGATGACCTCCTGGGCTCACCTACCCTGCCTGATGGCACCAATAACCCCTTCGCCTTTTCCAGCCAGGAACTGGCGAGCCTCTTTGCTCCTAGCATGGGGCTGCCCGGGGGAGGCTCCCCCACCACCTTCCTCTTCCGGCCCATGTCCGAGTCCCCTCACATGTTTGACTCTCCCCCCAGCCCTCAGGATTCTCTCTCGGACCAGGAGGGCTACCTGAGCAGCTCCAGCAGCAGCCACAGTGGCTCAGATTCCCCTACCTTGGACAACTCAAGACGCCTGCCCATTTTCAGCAGACTCTCCATCTCAGATGACTAAGCCAGGGTAGGGAGGGACACCCTGCCTCCTTCACCTCTCCACCCCGCACCCTATCCCATACCTTCACCTTCCCACCCTCTAAGTTCCCCCTCCATCCCCACATTGATACATTTAAGCTCAACTCCTTCCCCAGAACCTTGGTATGTTGCCCCCACCCCCACCCCCCCACCCCTCCCCAACATAAGGACAAGTCAATTTGTTGGTAGCTTCTTCTGGCTTGAAACCCCCTCCCTCCATTTCATAGCCCACTTAACCACGCATAACAGAGTCCCATATTTGTCAGTAGATGCCTTTTTTTTTTCGGCTTAAGCCTTAAGTGCCAAATCACAAAAGAAAAAGCAGTAACCGTTTACAGAAGCAACTTAGTGCCTTGTTACCTAACTTTGTCACTGTGACTACATTACCTCTTCAACGCCAGGGGGCACCCGTGGGCCTCCCAGAGCCTCTGCCCGTGGGGTTGGGGGGTGACCCGCAACCAGCAGCTCCCCCAGCTGGCGACAAGTGCACCTTCCTTTCAGTCTCCCGCACACTTCTTCCTCTTCCTTGTAGTTACCCGCCTCCCTCAGAGAATTGTTGCCGGACTTGGGGTTTGGGGGAAACCTATTTTGACATTCAAAACCTTTTTTTTTCTTCCCAGCCCGAACCCCTGTTGACTATAATCTTGCCCAGGTTGTGTAGGTCTTCAGGGAGGAAGGTTGAACTAGTTGGACGAAGGTTTTGACATAAGTGGGACTTTGTGATTTAATTTTTTTCTTTTTTCTTTTTCTTTTTTTAAAGTGGGGAGGAAGGGGAAACTAGATGGACTATGAGAGACTTGATTTTGGTGCTAAAGTTCCCCAATTCATATGTGACATCGTAAAAATGATAGCAAAATGAGAGAAAAGCTAAGGAAAAAAAAAACATGTAAGGGGTGAGCAGTTAATGGTATTCATT